GCCACAAACTCTAATCGAAACTAAGTTGCTCAGCTTCGATTCAGTTTATGTGTTTTCTCAAAATACGGTGCTTTCCGTAACCTTGTGCTGCTGTTCAATGTGTTTTGTTTGTTATTCTAGTATGAGCCACAGGAGTCAATCGAGAGTAAAGTCAGCAAAGTGTTCAACTTGAGTTTCACGTTTGTTTTTGATGGCTGGCTTTTCATAAACCTATGCTGTTGTTGTTCGCGATATGTTGTTTCGTTGACATGGTTTGGGCCACAGAAGTTCAATCGAAAGCAAAGTGTTCAACTTGAATTCCTGTCATGCTTGCTGTTCTTGATTATGTTGTTTTCTTTCAGTGTGTGTTATGTGGTTGTTACAGTACAGACCCTTGTGTAAGTTTCACCTTTGCACTCTGCTCAAAACAAGAGGGTGCGTCGTCTCCCGGCTCAATTGATGCGGTGGCACCTGGGCAACAGAGCTCCTTTGCCCCTTCCAGAGTCCTTCTCCTAATTCGAAAAGTGCGGAAAGATCCTCTTGCGCATCGTAGGAAATGAGAGAGCTCCTTTACATATCTTTATCTTTCCGGTTACGAGATAGAGGGGCTCATTTCCAAGAAAGTGAAAGAGGGGATGTATTTCACGAGCTCTTTCGTGTCCCATTAGGAGAGAGAGAGAGAGAGGACTTTTCTCATCATATACTACAAAATAGAAGAAAGACATCGTTCCTTTCCTACTAATGTCAAAAAGATCTGATCATCTCCTACACAGGAGTTCTTTCATTTCTTAACCAGAAGATAGAGGAGCTCTTTCATCTGCTTCTTAGAGATGGAAGAATAATAAGCCCTAAACCCTAAACCCTAAACCCTGGACCCCAAACATAAACGAATAAGAGCTTGTTCATGTCCCCTAGGTAGAGGGGCTCACAGCTCTACCATTTCCTATCTTGTACATGAAAGAGCTTCTCTATCTGGCAGTAGGTCATGAGAGCCCTCCTCTAGCTTTGGAAATGAGAGAGAGTCGAGAGAAGCCGTTCATCTCTTCATAAGAAATGACAGAGCTCTTCTAATCTAAAGGGCTGTCGCGCGCAGCCGGGCACGTCCAAGGAGAAGAGCAACAACAACATGAAGAATCTAAGCACAAAACATGAACGACAAGACCAAAAACAAAACAAACAACTGTCCTTTTCGCGTGCTCTTTTGCACGCCGCGAGCTCAGCAGGGCAAAGGATGCGAGCCATGTTGTGGCAATGCTTCCCAGGCTGCAGTGTGCATGGCCCTGGCGGTGCCCCCCCTCCCGCCCACTCTCCCCCCCAACGGTGCCGCTGATGCTGCCGGGATCCCCAAGCCCCAACTCATCCAACACGCCGCCAGGGTCGGCAGACTTTTTATGAGAGATCTCTCCTTTACCCTAAATTAAACAGCTAAAGGTTTTGAAGGCCTTTCTGCCATGGACGTAGGTGGAGCAGAACCTTTCTAGCAGCCTAAAGATTGCAGCTCAAAAAGTTTGGCTTGCGATTGAGTTCTTGAGGCACCAAGAAGAGGAGAGGGAGGGAGAGGGAGACCCTCCTGAGTGCAGCCAAGTCTAAAGGCCATCCTAGAAAAGGCATTGGCCTGGCCCCTGCCAGCCGGGGCGCCGCCTTCGGCGGCGCTCGTGGCCCACTGGCCTTGGGGCTGGAGGCTCGGGGTTTGTGGGTTAAGGGTTAAGGGGGGGGGGGGGGGTTAGTTTCGTAGTTGGTTGATTTACTTGGTTTCTTTCAATACAAACAGTTTTCAGGTAAATACATCGATGTGTACAGCCTGTATGTAAAGAGTTTTATCCTGTATTCGCCCATGTTTCCCGAGCGTCTTGGCGGTATTGATCAAGGGACGAAATCAGGAGCCCTTATATAAGAGGCCTTCGGGGACTTCTATAGGTGTATAGGGACTATATAGTGTATGAATTAAACAGGGGAATTAGATTAATTGTCCCTTCTCGGTCCTGGCAGTTTTTCTGCATTTTAGGGCTTGATTGGGGGAGTGGGTACTGCAGCGTTTCGGCGCTTGATGTTTTTGGGTCGGAGGGGGGGGGGGGCCTAAACCCTAAACCCTAAACCCTAAACCCTAAACCCTAAACCCTAAACCCTAAACCCTAAACCCTAAACCCTAAACCCTAAACCCTACACCCTAAACCCTAAACCCTAAACCCTAAACCTGAACCGTTGAGCTTACAGGGTTCAGGGCTGTCGAGTCGCAGCATTTAGGACTGCAGGTGTTGTAGGGTCTTTTTCAGGGTTCTGAAGGCATCCCGGAAACTCTAGACCCTAAAAGACCCGAACCCGTAAATCCCAGGACCCTGCACCCTGAGACCCTAAACCCTAGCCCTTAACCCTAAACCCTAGAACCCAAACCCGAAACTCTAAACCCCTACCCCAAATCCCAGGACTCTACACCCTTAGACCCTAAACCCTAGCCCTTAACCCTAAACCCTAGGACCCCAAACCCTAAACTCTAAACCCCTATACTCTAGCCCTAAACCCCAAAGCTACAGGACCCTACACCCTCAGATTCTAAACCCTCGTCCACCCGAAACCCTAGCCCCAAACCCTAAACCCTAAACCCTAAACCCTAAACCCTAAACCCTCAACCCCAAACCCCAAACCCCAAACCCCAAACCCCAAACCCCAAACCCCAAACCCCAAACCCTAAACCCTAAACCCTAAACCCTAAACCCTAAACCCTAAACCCCAACCCTAAACACTCAAAAACTCAAAACCCTGAGGGCTGTCGAGTCGGATTTAGGACTGCAGGTGCTGTAGGGTCGTGTTCAGGGTTCTGAAGGCATCCCGGAAACTCTAGACCCTGCAAGAACCTAACCCGCAAATTGCAGGACCCTGCACCCTGACACCCGAAACCCTCGCCCTTAACCCTAAACCCTAGTACCCCAAACCCGACACTCTAAACCCCTAAGCCCCAGACCTTAACCCCAAATCCCAGGACCCTACACCCTGAGACTTTAAACGCTAGCCCTTAACCCTAAACCCTAGGACCCGAAACCCTAAATTCTAAACCCTAAACTCTAGCCCTAAACCCCAAAACCACAGGACCCTACACCCTGAGACTCTAAACCCTAGTCCTAAACCCCAAACCGCTACCCCAAACCCCAAACCCCAAACCGCTACCCCAAACCCCAAACCCCAAACCCCAAACCCTAAACCCTACACCCTACACCCTAAACCCTAAACCCTAAACCCTAAACCCTAAACCCTAAACCCTCAACCCTCAACCCTAAACCCTAAACCCTAAACCCTAAACCCCAACCCTAAACCCTAAACCCTAAAACCGAAGACCCGCGAAGAGGCGCAGCTTGTGGACCGACTCGCGGAGCGATTCGTGGAGCAGCGCGAGGTGGTGCCGCCGCTGGAGCGGAGGGTTTAGGGTTTAGGGTTTAGGGTTTAGGGTTTAGGGTTTAGGGTTTAGGGTTTAGGGTTTAGGGTTTAGGGTTTAGGGTTTAGGGTTTAGGGGTTTAGGGTTCAGGGTTCAGGGTTCAGGGTTCAGGGTTCAGGGTAGGGGAGGTTTGAGGGCCTGAGGATTTCAGGATGTTCTTATGCAGCCTGGGGTCTTGAAGTGGCTTTAGGGAGTTTGGTGTCTTGAGTGCCTTTACAAGATTTTGGGGTCTATTTAGAGCATACAGGGTCGTGGCAGGCAAGAAATTCAAATTTAGAGGGTTTAGGATTTCGGGTTTCGGGTTTCGGGTTTAAGGTTTAGGGTTAGGGTTTAGGGTTTAGGGTATACAAGGTTTGGACTTGGCGCTAAGTTGCTGGGCAAGGCATTGTGGCGTCCCAGTTGGGGTGTCTGAGCAGGGACCGGTAAAACCCTGAACCCTAAACCTTAAATATTAAACCCTAAATAAACCCTAAACCCTAAACCCCAAACCGCTGCTTGGGCATGGCAATTTGATGGCGCTAATGCAGAAGTTAACATATCGATGCTCCACGACTATCAAGCTCAGCTACCATCACACGCAACTCCAAGAAGGACTGATAGCAGCAATGATTATAAAGCCATCCCACCAAAAAATGATAGTTTCCTAAAGGGAGCTGAGGAACCTAAAGCCTCAACCACCGACTTGGTTAAGGGTGGGAGCCACCCTCTACGTGCGCGTGTGGGGCAAGGATAATGACCCGGCCGACGCACCCTAAACCCTAAACCCTAAACCCTAAACCCTAAACCCTAAACCCTAAACCCTAAGCCCTAAGCCCTAAGCCCTAAACCCTAAACCCTAAACCCTATCCCGAGGCTGAAAGTGCTCGCATCGAATTTGCGTGCCCAAGCGGCGACGGAACTATTAGCGGTCCCCTTTTGCGACGCCCCAAACCGTAAGCCCTAAACCCTGAAACCTCCAAAGCCCTGAACCCGTAGACCTTAAACTCTAAAGCCTAAAACCCCAAATTTAAAACGTAAGCCGATCCTCGCTGGCAAGGCGCCAACGCCCGAAACCCAGAGCTGGGGGGGTACCCAAATTGGAGCGCCTTGCTGACCCATCGAACCCGCGGGTTCGAACCTGTTCGGGCACGGTTGGAGATATACCTAGCTAAGGGTTAAGGGTTTAGGGTTTAGGGTTTGGGCTTAAGATGGCCTAAGATTCATTCGTTTTCTCTTTTTGGTGAGGCATTTGGGTTACTTTAGGTAGTGTTGCATGTTTACGAGGACGAGGACGAGGGATTGCGCCCCTGCCCTTTGATGTTGATTGCAACTTGCGGCCCAAGCCCCACTTCTGCTGTAGGAACCATGTTTAGGCTTGAGGGTTTAGGGTTTAGGGCACAGGGTTTGGCGTTTAGGGAACCCTGAGCCAAGACCCTCTGCACCGTAAACCCCAGGCCGATTTTGCAAATTCAGGTCTCTCGTCTGATTGTCCGAGTTGATGCTGTTGGGGCCTTTAAGTTTGCGGGTTGAGGTTACGATATTGAACATTCTCGGCTCCCTTGTCAGTTTGCGTGCTCCACGTGCCGCACAAATGCAGATAGCGGCACCGGAGGACATGGCGAGCAGCAGTGCGCCTGCAGCCCCATTGTCTGAAGCAACACAGAACAGTGTGGCGGCAGCTTTCAACGCTTGGAAAGCAGAGACGTTCTTCAGCGCATGGAAGGTGGGCCTTCTTATTTCCCTAGGAAATATTTTTGCTTGTGTTCGATTCGTACCTGAACCCTGAACCGCCTAAACCCTACACCCTTGCTCCCTAATCCCGGCACCCTGTTCTCATCTCTCAGCCCACGCGGCCTGCAACCAGGAGCGGGGCCGGCAGAATGCTGTTTTGGACGCACAGAACTTGGCATTGTCCTTGGTTATCAAGAACCTTCAAGAACAGCGTGCGCCGCCAGGGGACGATGTGCCTGCTGCAAAACTTCGGGTTCAGGGTTCAGGAGTTAATGAAGTTTGGGGGTGGGCACGGCAGAACCGATAACTTCCACGCCAATTACGAAGAAGATGATGTATGCTGGGTGGCGTAGCTTGCTTATATACGAATAGCATCCATGCTATTGCGCAACGACAGCTGGGATACAGTGTGGCCTATGTTGCACCGATCTCTGTTCGTAACAAAACGTACACGCGCATGAAAAGTTAGTTGCCTTCCATGACACGACAGGTGCTGGCACCAGCGTCGTCCGCATCTTCGGCAACATCCTCATCCTCAATATGGTCTTCTACATCTTCATCTTCCTCGTCATCAATTTCCTCACCAATCCAGATAGCTTCGTCAACTTCGTCTGACTCGTCTCTCACGTCTTCGCCCTCATCATCGTCCATAAGATCCACTACATCTGCATCATCGACGACCCTTGCTTCACCCATGGAACTCTCTTCCCTTGCAGACTCCTCTTCCGTCTCAGGCTCGGGGTCTTCAGCACCACGTGCTCCCTCTGCAGCTGTGGGTGACCTGGAGCCTCTGGAGCTCGATTCTTGCAGCCACGCAGCCGCGCGCAGGGAGGAGGACCCCATCAAGGCTGCGGTGGCGCAGTTCGAAGGCTTCTTCCGGGCAGGGCTCCTCCTCTTCGCGCTGAGTGGCTACATCCTCTCGTTTGCCCTGGTCCTGCGCCAGCGCAGGGTGCCATAGGATGGGGGAAATGGGATGGGAAGGCTTTGCCCTGGTGGACAGAAGTGGCGGCCTTCCATGCGACTCCCCTGGACGCGAGGGCCCATTTTCTGGAAGGCTCTGAGCTGCGCACACCACCCAGACACCTTACAGACTCGTTTCCCATAGGGGGTGTGAGGAAGTCTTTCAGGAAGGCAGCGGAAGGTGACTACGATGGGCCGACGCTTGGGCTACTGCTGGAAGCTTGCGCGCCTCATGTTGCGACGCCATCTGCTCAGTTTGGCAGCTTGTGCTGCCAGTGACACGGACTCGGGTCTAGAGGAGCACCATGGACTCAGAGTTTGCACAATTCCTCACAATAAAAAGAATGCGAGTGCATGAGCGGAAGCGTGTGCAGGGGTGGTCCCAATGCTGGCCCCTACAAGCAGCTAAGCCTCGGCTCAACGCCGGAGCAGGCCACAAGCACAGCAAGTCGATCCTCGGGCCCGTCAATTGCAAGCCCCAGCCCCCTAAGCCCCGAAACCTCTGCTTGGAGCCCTAAACCCTAGGCCCCAAACCCCAAACCCTAAACCCTAAACCCTAAACCCTAAACCTCGGATGCACTTGACCCTATGCTCAGGTTTCATCGGAAAGAGCGGGCGGCTTGCAAGGCCTCCAAGCGGAGGGATGGCCTTTTACTCAGGGTGAATAAACCCTAAACCCTAACCCTAAACCCTAAACCCTAAACCCCTAACCCTAAACCCTAAACCCTAAACTCTTCACCCGTTTATGGCTTTGGAGCTTCGGGATGTTTGGGGATCGATAGGTTCAAGAGAACGTTTAAGTCAGGCCCCTTAACCATAATGCGTGACGGGGGACAGGGGGGCCGCGGTTGATGTTGGAGCCTGGTAGCTGGAATTTCCAAAACCCTGCTCCGGACGTATCGTGGTGCTTCTCCTTTGCGGGTTTGGCCTACGCTTGTCAAATCAATTCGATGGGCTTGGGCATCTGAGAATGCGTCACCCACAACTTCTCACCCCCCCCCCCCCAACAAACAGAACAAAAGCCAGCAGCTAGCACTCAATTCTAAGCCGAAACTGTATATACATCCTCCACGCCAATCCCCAACGTGCATTTCGAGCTTCAATCACTGGAAAGGAGATGCTGGAGCAGGCCGGCCGGCCCTCCACTTCGAGGGTTGAGGGGAGCAAGCTTCATAAGGGTTTGGGGTTTAGGGTTTAGGGTTTAAGGGTTTAAGGTGGTTTAGGGTCATGCCTTTAAGGATGGGAAGCGGACCTCGATTATTGGCGTATTTGCCCTTCTTGAAGTACAAGGTTGCTCTAGGTAGGGTTCAGGGTTTATGGGCTTAGGGTTTAAGGGATTAGGGCCCCAAGAGTGAAGTAGGGCAGGTACGTACAGCCTTTCGGCACCCAACAGATTCGAAGAGGTTATGGCCTCCGAACTATACATGGTGGGGCAAGTTTCTCAAGAAACCCTAAACCCTAAACCCTAAACCCTAAACCCTAAAACCTAAACCCTAAACCCCTAGCAGTACGTTACTTCTTAGACTTTGAACATCGAACAATTGGAAGTTTAGGGCTTCTGGCTCTCGCTACAGATTCTGGGGCTCTGTGCTCGAGACCTCTTCGACCATGGTTTGTTAAGCTCACATTTAGGGTTTAGGGTTTAGGGTTTAGGGTTTAGGGTCCCCTGTCCTGAGCCCCGAGGCGCTTGCAGCACCCAGATCACGAAGCCCTAAGCACTCCAAACCGAAACCCTCCAACCCTCCAAGCACTTAAAGCACCGTCAACCCCAAACCCAAAACCAAAACACCCAAACCCTCCAAAGCACTTAAAGCACCCTAAACCGCAAACCCCAAACCCTAAACCCGTACACCCCAAGCCCCAAATCGTAACCCTAAACCCTCATAAACCCTAAACCCTAAACCCTAAACCCTAAACAGAGGTGTCCTGGACAGCCCTGGAGCCCAAAGCGGCTCAGGACCTTGCGGTGGCCTTAGCAGGGTTTGGGGTTTGGGGAGAAGGGTTCAGGGTTTAGGGTTCAGGGTTTAGGGTTCAGGGTTTAGGGTTCAGGGTTTAGGGTTTAGGGTTAGGGTTTAGGGTTCAGGGTTTAGGGTGTGGGGTTTAGGGTTTAGGGTTTGGGGTTTGGTGTTTGGGGTTTGGGGTTCAGGGTTCAGGGTTCAGGGTTTAGGTTCTAGAGTGTAGGCCTAGAGAATGTGCGCTGCTCTGAGTTTGGGGATTTCTTGGCTTTAGGTTGTTGGGGCTGTTCACCACAAAACGAGGCCCTAATTAATTTAGATTTTTCCCCGTTCAGGTTCCTTCGTGTGCTTGCATGTTTGAGTGTCTAAGGCTTTACACAAAGGCTCCTATGTAGTACCGTTTTGGGGTAGCATACCAGAATCCCCTGTAGCTAACCCAAAAAGGAACTACATTGGAGCCTTTGGGTAAAGGCGTAAACGTTCAAAGGCTTTGGGTTGGGCATCGAAGTGCCTTGGAGTGAGCATCCATCGAAAGCCTCGCCTATATGACCGGACCAATATACCCTAAACCCTAAACCCTAAACCCTAAACCCTAAACCCTAAACGTGCCGTAGACTCTGGCCCGAAGTCTATACAAGTACAAGTAGGGGCCCAAGTACTCTACCAACTTTAGTGAAGGGAGTTATAGCCTAAATAATGTGCAACCTCAAGCCCTATAAACCCTATGAACCCTATAAGCCCTATAAACCCTATAAGCCCTATAAACCCTATAAGCCCTATAAGCCCTATAAACCCTATCAACCCTATAAACCCTATAAACCCTATAAACCCTATAAACCCTATCAACCCTATAAACCCTATAAACCCTACAAACCCTATAAACCCCATAAACCCTATAAACCCTATAAACCCTAAACCCTAAACCCTATAAACCCTATAAACCCTAAACCCTATAAGCCCTATACACCCTATAAGCCCTATAAACCCTATAAACCCTCTAAACCCCAAACCCTAAACCCTAAACCCTAAACCCTAAACCCTAAACCCTAAACCCTAAACTGCGGCAGGCCGCGCTGTTGAGCAAGCACTGGCTTGCCCCGGTCACAGCCACCGAGGCGACTTTGCAGGGTTTTTGGCGGAGGGAGGGCCCCAAATGCTAAACCCTAAACCCTAAATAAACCCTAAACCCTAAACCCTAAACCCTAAACCCTAAACTCGGGTTTAGGGTTTATAAGCCATAAACCGCTTTGGGTCTTCGGGTTGAGTAGGGTGGGAGTTGTTGGACTGTGGGTCTCTGTTCAGCTGTGGGTGTGAAGCGCTTCCGCGTTGGGGGTTTAGGGGGTTTAGGAGTCAAGGGGTGTAGGAGTTTGGGGGTTGAGGAGTTCACGCGTTTAGGAGTCTAGGGGTTTAGGGCTTAGGCTTAGGGGTTTAGGGATGGGGCGGGGGGGGGGGGGGGTGGGCTGAAGGACGAGTGTGTTGTTAGTCGTGTACGTGCGTGGACGTCTTGACTTGCGCACGACCTAAACCCTAAACCCTAAACCCTAAACCGACCATCTTTCTGACGCCTGCTTGCAATGTGCCTTGGACGTAGTTTGTGTGACTTCCCCTATGTCGCAGACCCTGAGCCCCACCGACACCCTAAACCCTAGACCCTATACTTGCTGTTATGGCCCTAAATCATCCTAAACCCTAGACCCTAGACCCTAAACCCTAAACCTTAAACCCTAAACCCTAAACCCCAATCCCTAAAGCCCGGCAACCAGAGGCATTGCGGATCTTCCGCCGGTGCCTGCACCAAATCCTCTGCGACGAGAGGGTTGTGGACATTGCGGGCTTCCAAGAGCTGTCTTTGAAGTTTGGGGGTTTGGGGTTTGAGGTTTAGGGTTTAGGGTTTAGGGTTTAGGGTTAAGGGTAGGGTTTAGGGTGAGGGTTTAGGGTTTAAGGTTTAGGGTTAGGGTTGCAGCACAATGCTAGCAGTGGTAGAACCCTTAGTGCTACATGCACATGTACATACACATGCACAGATACACAAACATATAGTTACATATACATATACATATACATATACATACATACATACATACATATTTGGGAGGTTACCGATCAGGTCGTGTGTCTGGTCCTTTCCTACGGTCGTGGGGTGATGCGGTTGAGGGTTTAGGGTTTAGCAGTCAGGGTTACGTAACATCGATCATGGACCCGCATGTATGGTTTAGGGTCTAGGGCTGATCAGGAATTTGATTAGTTTGAGGAAGTGGATTAATGTGAACCAATGAAATTAATTCTAACCTTCATCAACTAACAAAGACGTCATGAGGTCCACGGAGTGTTTCCAAAAGTCTGACAGAGGTTCGAGGAGACAGTGCAGTCTTAGATTCAAGGGACTAATAAAACCCTTAGAAGGGACCTTGGGGGTTATTTAGGGGTCATTTAGGGGTCATGTAAGGTACATAGAGACTAGATCAGGTATAAATAAATAAATAAATAATATATATATATATATATATATGTAGGGCAAGAAGATTAAGGGTACCTTCTAGGGGTCCCTCCTTGGTGGATGTGTTTCCCGCCACACTCAGGTGGAAAATCAGATGACGCATCACTTTGGGCGCGTTTGCGGGCCTGGCCGTTCCTAGCCTGGGGTGCAACTCAGCTTAGATGCTGAACCCTGGACCTAAACCCAAAACCCTAACCCCCACCCCCCCCCCCCCCCCCCCCCCTTAGATTGAAACCCAAACCATAGATACTCCGGGGTGGCCTCACCCCTAGAGAGCCCCAACCCCCGTGACTATTAAATATTCCTGAAATATCGTTTGGATCTCTCTGTTGTAACTTGAGGATTAGTATGTGACTTCACATCCGCGTCGTCCCTATACCCTATAAACCCTGAACTTCCTTAGGAATTTGGAGCGGGGACGCGGCTTTAGGCCGAATCGACTCGGACTATGTCGTTTTGGGGCCTACAGTATAGGACTTAGGGGTTTAAGGTTTAGGGTTTAGGGTTTCGGCTTCCATTTTTAATTGCCTGTAAGGTCCCTAATTT